GAGCGTTCTTAGCAGTAACAACCTCGTTGGGCGTTTTCAAGCTCCTATAGAAATTTAATGCTCCATTTGTATTTGACACGATACACGGCTTAGGGCTATGAAGCACGGCAGCCAAATGTCAGTATTTACATGGTGTGGTACGTGGTACCCTAGAGAACTGGATCGTATGGCGTCAAAGCAAAACAGTACTATAGAAAGCATACAAATATCGAGTTTCAGTAGAAAAAGGTAATTTAAAAATCTGAGAGGAAGCTGCTGAACACCAGTGAGTTAAGCGAGACCCTTTAATGGTGCTCTGGTCGAAATTTGTCAAGCACTTCTGAGACATACCTATTGCCATCTCCCATACAAACATATGCTTGGTTTCCAGGCTTGAAAATACTGAGGTACTCTAATATTCGAACTCTTGGCCTTGTAGAAGCGAGAGCACCTCAAGCGCAGTTTGCCCCACATATCAATGCTGAGCCCGATCGTGCCGTGCGTTGGACAAATTCCAACGAGGGGTGGGGGGGGGTCGTATTTGGGGTGGGAAAGGGGGTGGGGTCGTATTGCGTGAGGTAGCGTTAATGTTACAGTAAGGGACGATGCAGTCGGTTGGCGCACTAAAATTTTGCCGTTTCACGGTGTGTATAAGCCTCCTTCCCACCCCAGCCCGACGGTAATTTTGGAGGAAAAAGAAGGAAAAAAGTGGGCGGAGTTTGGGTTGTGTCGACTGGTCTCAGTATCGAGTACTATGGAATGAGCCCCATGATGGCGATGACAGGCGAGTGTGGTGAAGGGTTGACCCTGGGGGGTCGTATCGAGACCCTCCAGAAGGCGGGGGGTCGCAAAATTTTCGAAATCGGTCCAACACGACGGTTGACCTTGGTCCGACTTGTACAAGGGAACCTCTGCTTCGTTCAATATTAGGAGTTAGCGAATACAGATATGGGATCAGAGTTTGGAGCGGCACCAGATGCTAAACTACAGCTCGTTCTATATGGCATCTTTGACTTACCATCCTTTGTTAGTATGGACGTGACAGAACTTATAATGGAACGAATAAGGAAGGAATTGGACCGAAATAAAGTCGTCTTTTCGAGAGATGACATAATGAAATATTTTTTCTGGTATCTGTTTCCCATTGAGAAAAGCGCCGCTTCACTTCATTAGGCTCGACCCGCGATTGAAATAGTTTTAAAAATTTCCCACACACAGTAACCTTGCTTGAAGAACATACGTATATTTTATTTTTCTCTATAATTTGTTTATTTTACTTTATTAGGTCGTCCGATGACCAGTGTCGTTTTTTGTGCTCGAATGAAAATTTCTCTTCATTATCTCAAGTGTTCACGTAATTTTGTATATCATTTGAAAGAGATGTGTCCGCTATATAAAACATTGTACATATATTTTGTACATCCATCATGAGCTGACTGCATTGCAGGCTATCAAGGTGGGACTTCCAGTAGATAGAATTTATCCAAACTGGCACCTATTCAGACTATGTGTTTCCAAAGGATCAATCAGTGATTCGCCATGTACTTATGTTAGTGACGGCCTATGTTTAAACTCCCATCACTGAAGTGTCCAAAAAGTTGTCCTTCCTTTTCTTTTGAGATTTATTATTCAGCCACTCGATATTCGCCCGCTATCTCTTAGGATCTAGACCTGAGTCTTTTACTATTTTACCTCCTGTTTAGAACTATTCACTGTTTTTTTTTCTCTCGTATTAAATTCATTTCACTGAAACAAGCAGTTTACATATCCACTTATCCTGTCCTCATCATGTGATATCGGAAGCGCTCCGAATAAACAAAAACAAAGAATTGCCGGCTGTAGCCACATGTGCGCTGTGCGTCCATGGCTGCATGGTTTTGAAAGGGTTTAGAATTATTCACGGAAACTTGTTTCATACTTCCCCCACACAGATATGTCAATTGTGATCACTAATGACAACGTTAAGTTTCAAGCAGAAAGATTCAGCTCCCGAAGAGAAAAAAAATATGAAAACTCACTCCGGGGACGGTTGCAGGTAGGTGGGGTGGAGAGAAGGGGACGCATAGAAAGAAGTGTGCCCTGGGACGGCCACGTATCAGGCATTGAAAAATACAGATGGGGAATAGTGCCAAAATCATTGAGATAATAGGGCGCAGTAGAAAAAAAATGAATCTACTCCAGGAGTATGAACGCGTAACAGTCCTCTCGCTTTTTCAAATTGTTTTTTTTTGTTCTTTTCGTTCCTATCGTGAATGATGGGCCATAAACCAGCGAGTGGGATAGAAACTTTGCTCGTGGACGACCCATTCAAGGAGGCCATTCAAGCGCTTACTCACGGTACAAATCCTGGATTGCCTTCTCTCAATCGTGTGTTGCGCAACCAGCAGACGAGCGCGACCAAAGTGGCCCTTCTGTTGCACTTAATGCAGTGCAGAAATGTATGTGTGCAGAAAAACAATACAGTATATTTAACATATTCTATTTCAGAGATCTCAGCGAGAATTTCCTGACGGCAATTACTGATGATCAATTACAAGGTCCTGAAAATATGTACACTCTTCAGTTGGATCGAAACTCTTTAGTATGGTGAGCTGCTCTATTTATTTATAGTAGGGCTTAATCTCAGTTTTTCGGCTCCTTACCGTTCGAATCCATACTCAATGTACAGGATATGATGGCTCACTCGGAGCTAAAAATTTCCCAAAGATCGAAACCTTGGACAAATTCACCTATGCACCTTGAGCCAGCCACTCGCGCACCAACTAGTCCATATCGTGTTTGCTAACAGACAAAAAAGAGGAGTCGACATCGAAATGTGTGGGAAATAGCGTTGCAAAGGAGAGAGTGAAACCTGAGACGTTACTGTCGGCACCTCACCCTTTCCCTCTCCGTCTTCCCTTCGCATACTTGGAGAAGGGGAAGCAACTTGGTGATCTCTGTCAGTTGTCGTAACTGTAAGCGCGTTAAGTAAGCACTTCTGCAGGGACTTAACTACTGAAGCTAGGAACTCGATCCGACGCAGCTATTTTCGAAAAGGGGTAGTGATTTGTGCTAAGGCCATACACACGAAACCATTTTGTTTTGAAGCCTATGTGGATTCCACTATGCAGTTTCAGGGAAGGTGCTATTGTAGTCGGCCCGAGTGTAAGCCAAGATATTTCGGCAGGGCAATACGAGTAGGGGAAGGGGGTCGTACTTCGGTGGACAGCACCCAAAGTTCTCTTATCCCTACAACATCGTCTTTAATTTTAAAGGTCGAGAAGAGGAAGACATTCTGCACAAGTGAACTGGTTCACACGCCTAGGAATTTTCCTCTTTTCCTTTGAGGTTAGTGTAGTATCAGGTCCATGCTACTGCACCAAAATGCCCCCTCCCCCCCCCCCCTTCGAAATAGGCTCTTAAACCGATTGCAGAGATTAGCGTAAACGTCTAGTTGCAATGTACTGTCAGTAAGCTTTGCCTTCCATTTCCAGAAGTTTTGTTGTCGCTCTATTTGCTATTCACTTCTTATTGTGCACCCTAAGTTGGCTCATAATTTAAGGCATCTATTCGATTTTTATATTTTTTATCTTAATTTTGTTCCCGGTTTTCGATCTTCTCATTGCTCCGATGTAGTTGGGGGGGGGGGGAGGAATCGCACTTCGGCCTTTTTTCTTCGCCGAGATTGCCGTCGTTGACGGAATTTCTTCGGCAAAATATTCCCTAAATGTCCCTCTATAAGTACACGCAGGCCATCCTTCAATGCCATCACTGCCTTCAGAATATGACGTCATCTGTCACCGTCGTCGACAGGGAGCCCTAACTGTAACTAGTAACTGCTTCAGCCTGAAGCTCTTACATAATTTCTTGGATCGATTCAACTTGGAATAGTTTCCTAGGGATATGATATAGAAATATGCAAACCCACTTGAAACCCGTCGTAACGGTACGCGATCAGTCGAGAACCCCATTGAGCTCGACCAGAGCACCATGTTTCCGGGGCAAACTTTTCTGATGCCGTCCACGTACATAGATGGCCACTATGAAGATTTTCTTACGGAGTGATGCGCTCTCCTCTTCCAAGTTGGGAGCACACGCTTGGAGCTTAGTAAAGTGCAATTAAATTCATTTGAATCTGCAGGCAAATTGTCTTTTTTTTATTGCCCCCCCCCCAGCAGTAAAAAAATTACTGACGTCACATGAACACAAGTTATTCAAAACCGAATGCTGCGACTCAGCTCAAACGATTCGCCGCGAATGAATGCGGCAGCAAAGATTTGAGTGACAAGCGAAGAGCTGGTCGTCGGCAAGAGATCGTCCGACAAATTGTTTTTGAAAAATCTGTCATTTCTACTCATGTGCACGCCCTGTTCTTAAAAAGATGTGGACTTTTGAACGTCATCAAAATTGTGGAAGATAACTTGAAAGCATTATCAAAGAAATGGCCTATAAATTCTAGCGGACCCAATAGCTCAACCGGAAGTGTACCAGAACACGGTGTTTTGCCATCCTACTCAGCAAGGGAGGATTCCACGACAATTTCGGGGGGTCGATGAGGGGGAAATAAACATAGTCAGAAAGCAGGTGTCTCCCAAAGATCCGGGACGACGCGCTTTTCGCAGCGAAGAGTATGCACGTAGCGGCTTAGTAGGGCCATACCTGCGTCTCTTGCGCCGTTGCGCTCCCACCGATGAGTAACTCGCGCCGTCTGACTCTGGTTGTTCAGCAGAGAGAGCGTTAGCTTGAGGAGGGCAGCGTCAATGATAGTCACATTAATGCGGAAACCAACGAGCAAACAGGGGGTCCATTCTTTTGTCCCTTTCTTGTTTGCTTTTCTTAATCCATTCATATGTAACTGGCCAGCTTAGTACCTCGTGGGCTGCCTTTTGATTTTTGATTGTGAACTCCGCTTTCGGACCGGAAGTGAAGCGTAAGAAAATCCTAATTACAGCATAGAGACTTCCGTGATCTCATCATGGAATACGTTAGAGACCATCACTTTGAACAACAACAACTTGACGACTCTTGGCGAAATCGATACGATGCCTAATCTTCGATTTTTGTAAGTGCGCTTGACCTCAGGCAGCTTCCACACTTTGCAAATACACAACTGTTACAGTCGCCTTGGTGAAAATCGTTGGCATTGCGATTGTCGTCTGAAATGGATGAAGCGGGCACTTAGTCGACAATCGGCGAGCCTTGTCAAATGCATGAGACCTGCGTTCCTTCAAGGGCGCAGCATAGAACATGTCGACGAGTCTGTAGGTGTTACTTTATTACTCAGCTGGTGCTTTTGATGCAACAATCGATTTATTCTCATTTCTTATAAACGAAATTTCCAATCTTTCTTACTTTTGTACATCGTCGTTGAATATTGAGCGCTTTCCCAAGACATAGAACAATTATTTTAGCTGATGAAATGTTCGGGAATCGAGAAACGAGCCACAATCTCGTGCTCCGAGACGCATGTCTGTCCACCGGCTTGTACTTGCACAGATGCCACTGTGGATTGTAGAGATCGCGGTCTTACACACATCCCAGCAAACTTGCCCAGCTCCACTACTGAACTGTGAGTGGGCTCTGATCTGCACGTTTTTTCTTGTACGAGTTTTCTATGGTGGTTGAGATCATTCTTCCGTTACGTCATCGCAGAAGTACATAAAATGATTGGAATTGACGGGTTCCAATACCTTGGTGCACATACAGTAGTGAAATGGGAACCAGGTATTCAGCTGAAAGTGGTGTCATGTTTTCAGAAGATTCGCTAGAAACGAGTTAAATCTCATCCTAGTCCCCCTTCGGCTTCAACCAGTAGTAGTAGTAAGCTACGGCATTTGGCTCCATGTTGGTGCTTGTCAATGTTTCGTCTGTGCTAGATTTGCATCGCCTTTTCATTGCGAACTACATACACAAGAAAATTGAACACTACCACCGTTGTGTTCTGAAAAAAAAACTTATTTAAAAAACCAAGCAAAAGTGTAAAAGACACCTTTTTTGAAACTTAAATCTCCAACGGTCAGTCCGGCGTGTGTGGCCGATGTCAGACTTTGCGAATCGCGCGATTCGCTAGCGTCTGCGGTCGCGTCGCGGCCAGTGAAATCACTCAGTTGGCTGATACCGCAACGCGACCGCGAACGCTAGCGAATCGCGCGAATCGCTACCAGCGATTCGCAATGTCTGACATCGGCCTGTGGCAGAACTGCAAGTTCATCCACGGGTGGGAAATTTAAAACGCATTGTTCATGACAACAAAAAAAAACTCAAAAACCGAGTCAGTTTTGTCCAGAAGTGAAGCCGAGCTGGCTAGAGTGAGGTCGGTTTTTTGCCCGATATTCCTTAGGCCTTGTGTGAATTTCTCAAAAACGTTTTCCTACGCCTAATAACTTTTTCTTATTGCGAAGCGTACCGTAAAGATAAAGAACCTCACAAAAAAGAACATACTTTACTACAGTTGGCTCATCATCACTTTTTGACAAAACTGTCGCTGTTTTTGATAAGTTATCATAAACAATGCGTTTTACAATTCCATTTCGTGAATAAACTTGCAGCTCTGTCAACAGACACTTGTTGGAGGATTAAGTTCCAAATAAGGTTTGATTTCCGAACACGACCTAATGTAACTATATGGTTGGCTTGTGAGGCTGTTTTATCCGAACCCGGAAACAAAGAAAGATCTTCAAAAAGATCTTCAAGGTTATACTTCATATTCTGCACAATGCCCAGAGGAATTGTTAAGTCCAAAGCAATCGCGGCCCAAAATTCGTGCGGTGTGACTGCTTCTCAACTTTTTTCACGTTTTATTCGCTGCCTTTACTTAAATTCTGGTAACGATTTCCTCTTGTTTTCAACTGGAAAAAGGAGGATTGATAACAAAAAAAGATTAATCGGCAAAATAAAATAAGAATAAGAATAAGCAATAAGAAGATATGGGGTGGATGTATGATTATGCGGAAAGGCCAGAGCCGCTTTCCGATGACAGACTTTGCGAATCGCGCGATTCGCAAAATCTGACATCGGCCTTTCGACTTGCAGAAAGGCTTCCTTTAAATTTCAAAGCCAGAGCTTTGAGTTAGTGTACAAAATAGCATTTTTACCTACAACCTTTTCCAGAGCAGTATGCATACTACCCGTCGCTGATTGACTAAAATGCGAATTTCGCCATATATTATGGTTTTTTTTTGAGTCGGAATACTTAACAATTCCATTCTTATTCCGCACCTGAAGCCGAATTACCGCACTCACTGCCTTCCGAAGATATCAAAAAACTAGCGCTATGAATAATTTATCTCAATGCAGGGTGAGCCAACGTCGAGGACTAGACTCGACTTGCGAGAAGCGGGGGGGGGGGATCGCTACAGAGAATATAAAAGAACCGGAAAAAGCGGCAGTGTATTTTCCGAATGGTGAAAGAGGACCGCCACTTAAGTTTGAGGGTTCCCGCAGATTATTCAGAATTCTTTTTTGAAAGTCCTGAACATTCTACCAAAGTCTCTGGGACTTCGTTGGCAGGTAGGCAAACATCAGAATTGTGCTCTTTCACTGTAGTATGTGTACCTTCCTTCCCCGAACACGAACTTTCTAGAGGGAAGGTGAAGAAAAATTTGTGGTTGTATGGATGATGGGTGGGGCGAAAGTGGTGTAGTGTTATGTGACACGCTTACCACGCGAGCGGTCCGGGGATCAAATCCTGGGTCGTGGGTCGCCTGGGCCAACCAAGCCTTCCATCCCTCTGGGGTCGATGAATCGGTAGCAGACTTGTCTGGGAGGATAAAAACACTGACTTGTACATACATCGACTGTCCCCCGCAAGTCATTGTATAGGCCAAGTCGCATTCAAACGCCACTACGAATGTACAAATGGAAGTAGAATGCGTGCCGCATCCCGAAAAGGGATTGATCAACGGCAAATGCTTCGCCCTTTTTTATGCTGTTTATCCTTATGGACGATGGGTTGATTGGAGCAAAAAAACAGATCTGTCATGGGAGTCAGTGGGTAGCAGGAGAGTATAGAGTGCAAAAACAAATATAGAAAATCTCGTGGTTGCCTTTATTTCGATTGAGTTTGTGCGGCTGATTGTGTAATACTTGTTGTGACCTCTTCACCCTAGCCTCAAATGTTCAGGCGATTGGAGCAGAATCGCATCACCTACGTTCCTCCCAAGGCGTTTCAGAATCTACGTCACTTGAAACGGCTGTGAGTTTCCTTCATATTCGGAATGAACAGAAGCTGAAAATGGATCTACTGAATTGACTTCTTGTTAATATTATAAAATTGTACAAGCAATAATCAAATTTTTTTATTGTTTCGGTGGTAGGCGTGATTGTGAGTAGATTATTAGACCAACTACTTCCGTGAATAAGGTTGCTGAGTCCACAAATGCAAAGGTGGAGCTCTTTCGTGATGCAGAACCCGAGGAAAAGGCGCTAAGGATTGAAACTCGAAACTGTGCACATCTGAAGCACAACAAGCCGCAACCACTGCGGTATCTATGTGCCTGTCTATCTGTCTGCTCTCTCCTCCTTAGTCCTCTCGTCGGGAAAGAAGAACCCTATACACTGTGATTTTCATGGTTTCTTCTCCACTGACAAGTGAACTACCGTATTATTCCACATATTCAAAGCACATTTCACCCACCTTTTGCTATCCGATTTTGTATAACGCTTCGTCTGTGGTTCTGTCATGGTGTCTTTCAAGAAATTCTCTAACTCCTAGAGGATTCCATCTGAAGAGCCGGGTAAGTGTGAGTAGGGTGAGCCAGCTTCGAAAAGTACAAAATATACATTAACTTGGCAGAGCCCGCCCACAATGGGCGTGGCGTGCATTGAAATAAGCAGTGCTGACCACGAAAAATTCAAATTCAACAGAACAGTCTAAAGAGGGGAAAAATGGGTAAAAGTGCGCATTCATAAACCAAATCGAATCAGGGTGACCCATCTTCGGTGGAGCGTTCTATAGAAAAGCGGCGTTCAATGAAAAAAATCATAACTCGATTAGGAGAAAACCTTCGACCGTAAGGAAAAATTGGTGCAGGGAAGCGATGCGTAGTTGCTCCCAGCATACAGGATATGAGCGGAGGCCCACCCACAATGGGTGGAGCGTGCCCTGAAGTTGATAGAGGAGTCTTGAAGATCGGGAAAAAGGTGGATAGACGTGTTAGGCTGGATTCGATCACGTTGAATCCCTCCCGGAAAAAGCTTTTTGTCCATAACTCAGCACTCATGTGATGACTAATTCTCTTAACAAGTATTGAGCATATCTATTCATTTCAATGTTTTTTTTCGATTTTAGTATTCTTTTAATTTCATTGTTACATATTTTGCTGAATTTTAGAGACCTCAGTAGGAATTCAATCGTCGAGGTCGCCCCACGAGCCTTTCAAGGACTCTACTCTCTCAATTCCTTGTAAGTTGTTTTGATTCTGAAGGAGGTTACCTGACGACACCAACCCTTTCTTCATTCTAGGGTGCTTTATGGTAACAACCTGACTGAATTGCCGGCGGAGGCTTTTGAAGGGCTCAACAGTTTGCAACTCCTTCTGTTGAACGCCAATCAGCTGCAGTGTATTCGGCAAGGAACGTTCGATTCATTAACGGAGCTCAACCTCTTGTCTCTTTACGACAATCAGATCAAGTCTATCAGCAATGAAACCTTTCACAAACTCCACAAATTGCAGACATTACATCTAGCAAGAAATCCCTTGATCTGTGACTGTAATCTGGTAAGTTTTTTCTCAACTTTGCGGCAGTTGACTTCGTAAAAACATCGCCGTCATGATGATTATGATAACTTTTGGATCGTACCGATACCATGCGACGGACTCCCTTTTCGGCTGATGTCAGACTTTGCGAATCGCAGGCGTCCGCGGTCGCGTTGCGTACCAGCCAATAGCGCGATACGCTGGCCACGATGTGACCGCGGACGCTAGCGGATCGCTCGATTCGCAAGGTCTGACGTCGGCCTTTTGCTGCCAACTGTGATAGTTCTGGCTTATAATGTTCGAAAATCACCTTCTTTTTTTGAAGTGGAAGAGCTTTGGAAAACTTCTGCGGAGTTGGTTGTCTCAGTTCATGAAATATAAGCATCTCGTCGTATATCAGTCATGTGAGCCCTGGCATAATCCATCATATATAATTTGTGCTTTATACCCAAAAATTTTCCGGAAGCAAAAAAAGTGGAAAAAGAGAGTCGCACGGCTTTCTTTCCCACCTGTGAAGCGCTATGTTTCCTTTGTGAACTTTGGGTCTTTTCATCGTCACGAAACTTTCTATTATTTGAGAATTGTCCTGGGAGCCGAGTTAAGCTTGGTGTGGGTAAAACATGACCGAATATGTACAGCAAGAAGCTAAGTCCACACTTTTGGTGTGCATCCACTGAAATTGGTGGGAGCAACGGCAAAATTTTTTAATTTGATTAAAAAATAGCCAGAAAACGAGGAAAGTAAAGGCGAAGGGCGAATTGGCGCATGGGGTAAAGGGCACCAAGCAGGAGTGGGGGGAGCGAGTGTTGAATATGGCATAAAGAGCGCCAAATGCTTCATTTGCTGTCTCATGCGTGGATTATGATTTCGATAAAACTAAGATAAACATCCACAACGGCCTCGCCCAAATACTTCCGTACCACCCCCTTACCCAAAAATAGGCCGTAACCAGACATTTGACCGTGACCGTTTGTTTTCCAGAAGTCCCGTTAGTGTATTACTAACCGACGCTTGACCCTGACCTCACCTGAGGTGTGTGGGACGCATCCTTGGTCAGCGGTCAGCGTCTTGGGCGTGCAAATGAAAAAACATATCAGCTCTCATTTTTTTGTTGATGGAAGATTTATTAATGGCGTCCGATCAATCATGTATACATCCTTTCGAAAAATGAGAAGAGTGTGGGGTGCAGACCATACACCACAAGTGACGACGGCCTCCACAAGATGTAAATGTCTTCTGCCAATGAAATGAATAGCCTGTTGCAGTTGCATACTATCAGTTTTCACTAATTACAGCGATCGTTTACCAAAAATGAGCTATCACGATGAACCATTACTAACCTGATTTACTTGGAATGGTTGTCGTCATTTGTGGTGTATGGTCTGCACCCGATGCTCTTCTTGTTTTTGAAAAGGGAGGGTAGTAAGGCCTTTCTATCACGGAAATCTGAACTCATCGTATATGTAAAGAAGTCGCGTTAGTAATACTGTTTAATTGACCTTATTTCAAGGAATGGTTAGCTGAACTCCAAGAGGCTCGACACATAGAGACAAGTGGAGCACGTTGCGATGCACCAAAACGGGTCTCACGGAAACGTTTTGCTGCCTTACCACCTGCAAAATTCCGATGCAAAGGTAAATTTTGTGTGCTGATTTGCTGATTTTCGACAACGGTAGCTAGCAACTGTAACGAGTTAGATATCCGTCCCTGACCTCGCTTTTATAGTGATCCGTTTCATGGACTAAGGCTACGACATCTAAAAGGGGCTATAAATGGGATAGATCGATGGAAAAATAAAAATAAATTCATAAAAGAGTGGATCTATGCATGTATGAACATAATTGCTCCATCATCCAGCATGCGCCACAACCACGATCATGACCAGCTTTTTTGTAGCGTTTCCTCACTGGTTCCGATTCTCCATCTCAGGGCTGATCGCAGAGGGGAGGGGGAAGTGTTCGGAGAACTCCACCAGGGGGATCGTAGTGCATCAGGAAATTTACTAACGCCACGGTCGACTGGAACAATATTCGACAAGATGACCATGAACTGAGAAGTTTTTATAAGCAAGAGACGCTGAAAAGGAGCATAAGAATCCACTTAAGTACTTCGGAAAGGCTGCGCTCCCGCTCTAGATTACGCACAGTAAGCAGAAGTAATGAAGACGTTCAAAAGAAGTTGGGTACTGTCGTGTGGACATAGTTGAATGAGCAAAGTTTTCATTGTCCTAGATGATCCCTCCTGAAACAGCATCACTGTCTCAGTTAGGCCAGGGGTACCGACAGGAGGCCCGTCGTGCGGCAAAAAGGCAAGGTCAGCGGACGAGTCGCAGCACGCTGTGCGATGTAGGACGCACAATGGTACATTTCGTTTAACCCGCAATCACTACAGCATGCGCTGCGGCGACTCGTCCGCTCACTCTGCCTTCTTGCCGCGCGACAGGCCTCCTGTCGAGAATAAGGTAACTTTTTCTCAACATTCAACCCTAATCAAACTTCACTCAGTTGTGTTGCTTCCGCTTTTAATGTTGTTTAAACCCAAAGCTGCGCGAACATAATGTGTCGTAGGCCTCGTAGGACGCGTGTGCGATTGCAGCGGGTGTACATTTTGTTAACTATGAGGGAACTCGACAATCGCTTCCTTTTTTCATTACAAATCATCTCGTTACTTGGACTAGAAGCATCTTTGTGCTGCTCCTTTCTGCGCGACATATTCCCCACTGGTACAAGTCGAGCGCGAAGCAACACTTCTTTGACCACCCTGCGCACAACAGTAGCGAGGAACTCATCAAACAAATGTTCCAATTTGAATGAAGAGATCTATACCAAACCAGACATCATGACAAGCCTCAATATCTCCTCAAATCTCCATTTGCAACTGCCTTTACTTCTTTTCTTAACACTTCTGTGGCTCTTGTTTCTTCTCATAACAATCCACGTTACCTCGTGGGCCCACCAAAGGACAGAGCACGTCTTCTGGCTGCAGCTCAATCATGAGTGAGTAGAGACCGATACTCGACCAGAAGCGATGCGAGAGCTATAGCTTATTTCGGAGGTAGTGTCATGATTATCGTCAAAGCTACGCGCGCCTTCGTCAACTCCCTTTAATACTATTAGCCTGTCCAGAAAGTAATGCAGGTTTGATGTCTCATACTTCGTTAGACATTTTCTGGGAATTTTTTTTCGAGAGCTGCACTATTGCATGTCGTTGGCAAGCCCATATTATTCCCTTTCTTATATTGCTATAGAATTTTGAAGAACTCGGCCTGTGCTATTTTCAAAAAGTCTTCAAAAATAATCGAAGACGTCAAAGCAACAATTCAAGCAAGTTTACTTCTATGAAGACCTAGGACGCTTTCCGCGCATCTACGGTTTCTTTATTTTAAAATCGTGCAATAATTCAGCATGCTTTTTTTGTAAAGAAAGATGCGTAATTTCCGAAACCTTTGAAAATGAATGTTGACTTTGAACTAAAATATATCGCTTTGAAGACAGTGGCCAAAACCCTCTTTCTGGACATCCTAGGACGAGGGCGGACGACAGACCAGAGTTGAGTCATTGTGAAGTTGAATTCCGCGAAAGTGGTACAAATAATGCTGAGAACAAAAAAATGTCATATGACAGTGCGGCGAACCCCCAAGGCCGATGTCAGACTTTGCGAATCGCGCGATTCGCTAGCGTCTACGGTCGCGTCGCGTGAATCACTCAAATGGGTGGTGCCGCAACGCGATCGCGAACGCTAGCTAATCGCGCGATTCGCAAAGTCTGACATCGGCCCCGCTGGGTGTGCACATAGTGCGAGTGTTTCCATTACTCGGTTTATTCTGGCTGTTGTTCCTGTTCTTTTCCAAGAACTAAGGCAGTTAGTTATATGATTGCCAAAGATTGCTTTAGTAGTGTGAGAAATTCGGCTGACGTTCGCCGCCTACCTTGAATTTTCGTTTTCTTGTTTTAGGTATAGAAGTTTATCAGACGCAAGGAGCTGACGAATGTTTCATTGACGTCGACTGTCCGTCTCAATGTACTTGCCACGAAACAGTTGTCGACTGCAGGTAGGAAGGTTTGTCAAATTGATCTCTAATTATGGGTAGAAGTGCTCCTTCGAAAATGCGCTCTTTACTAATTATTGCCTATTTGGTTCATGTCGTTGCTGTTTTCCTGAATGACCCTTTTTTAAAGTCTAGCCTATTGTATGATCTTGATATTCATTACTCATTATAAGCTCTAAATCCGAGAGTACGAATATGTTATGTTTCACAACAATATTTTCACTTTCGCCAAATGTCAGGTGATTGTTCTGGTACACCATTGCCTGTTGTCGGTGAAGCGGTGTAATAGCGGTGCTAATAGCTTTTCTGAAAAATTGTTCGGATAACATTGTGAATTGATGGGTCACCATAACTCACTTCGCGTTTACCTTGGTAATAGCTTCAAAAATGTGGAGATAGATTACTAGCCATTACAGGGGATCGGCCTGACACACTTTGTTCTTGTAATGCAGGTAAATATGTATAAGTTAAAGAATTGATGAGGAAGAGTGCTAAAGGAAGACTCCACGATAAAGAAAAGGTCGAAGAAGTGAAAACTCACCTAGTGGAGAGAAAGGCGAACGTCCTAAGGGTGTGGACCTACACGCAATTTGCATCGAAGGATATGTCCCGGCGATCTAGCATAGCCTTCCCCGCGGCGCTATTGGCGCAGTACGCCCATTCTTGCTGTCTGAGCCCCTAGCCAGTCACTACAGAGAGCCAAGCCTTGAAGACAACACCGATAAGAGTCGAATCAACGTGGAAATCAATCCGGAGGGGCCCCATTTCTCCAGTTCTATGCCGCTTTTCTCGGTTTTTTCTTCTTTTGTTTACTGACCATCTCCAACTTAATTTCCAATGGACTGCCTTTCATTGCAAAATCCGCCTCTAATCAAGGAAATGGTAATTGGAGATAAGTGGAAAATGAAACATCATGCAAAGAAGGGTTGTTGGCATAGCTCGAAGAGGCAGGTAGCACCACAAAGTCTACGTATTTGCACAGCTGACCGATCTTATAAAATTATGCACGGATAAGCATGAGTCTAGCTGCGTCAATTTATTTGTCCGTCATTTTTATGGTAAAAGTTCGAAAAGCTAAATACTCCATTCGTTCAAATTCCCGCCGTACAGCCTCTGTCACAAATGTTGGCGGTGAAAACGCTCCACTTGGTTCCTGGGTGCCGTGACTAGGCTATTTCTCGGCTTTCTACCCTATGGCTTTACGTATTTCACCCGTTGTCTCCCGGGCCATAAATGCAGAATCATAATGGACATGGAATTCATTAATCAAAAACGTCGAAACCGAGCGTGAAATTGATGTTTTTGAAGGCTCTGCCATGCAATACTACTACTCTACGAATCATTTAGAAGCATTCAAGCGAAAAGGAGCAAAATTCACCTTTTCATGGCCATAACACGTCATTTCGATCGAACATCCATTACTGTTGCTTAGGATTAGTTTTTGAAAACACTTTGTCGCGTCTATGTATAACGCATCTACAGCTCAAAATCCATGGTTTTGATGTGAGGCGGCGGCGCTCGCAAAATCGGTTTGGTCCCACGCGACCAAAAAGGCCAAAACGATATCGTCAACGTGCTAAGGTCTCAAAAAACCCATGTCACGCATTGTTTTGAACGACCATTCGCAACCAAGAATTAAATAAGCTTCAGAAATTAACGGCTGTATCCGTAACTTCTCGACCGGTTGCACTGGGGCGCGCAATCTCACGTGTCATCGATTTTCTCATTTTCTCTGCGCCTCCAACGGAGAGAGAATGCGTCGAGCAGGCCCGCGCAGAGTACTAAGCGCCGTTTATGTAGAAGGGAGAGGATGCAACAACAAGCGGCTGTCGCCCCTCGTCGGATGAGGCGGCACCCGGCGATCACCTCCCATGCTCAGCTCGCGCGCGCGCGCTCAGCCTCGCCGGCGGTGCTCGGTCTCGGTCGCGCAAACGGCGAGGCCGCAGCAAACGGCCGAGGCTAACGCTCGGCGACGTCGCTCCATTTTTGGGTCGCTGACCTGAACAGCAGAGTCGGCGTCGTTGACCGCTCTCACACTAGTGCTGGCATTGTGCACTGAAAAGCTTGCCGCGCTATGACGCAAACGTGGGTTACGGTATACATCCTATGTTCCTTAACTTATAATCTTGTCCATTCGCATGATTATTAAGTCTGCATTTACGACTCGGCTAGGTGAGGGTGAGGGACCCATGAAAGGAGTGACTTCGCCCATGGCGCGCATTAGCGAACTTTTATGCTCTACCAGGAAAATATGTTTTTTGAGGCTGTAATGAGAATAAGGGATATCTCAGAGTGTGGGGTACCCGGTTAAAGTTCGGCAATTCGGCCTTTGATCAATACAGTGCTGAAAGTGGGCTAAGAAAAGTGGTCCGTTTCTCGTCCGCCCCCCCCCCCTCCTCCTTACATACATGTGCTCATTTATTCTGTCGAATCGGAAATGAAGGTTTTCATTGACCCAAACATAGGCCCTTTTTGAAAGCCTTGATCCATACACCTTTCAGCAATAGAGGTTTGGCGGACGTACCTAATCCGATACCACGATTCACAACAGAGCTCTACCTCAGCAAAAACAAGATCTCCATGGTTGGTATGGATTCCGGTCTCCAGAAACTTCAGAATTTGGCGGTTTTGTACGTTTTCAATGAAATTTTTTTTATAGAATCCTGAAGTACTGATAGGATTTGAGAAAAATTTTTTCTTCCTAATCACTTTCAGGGATCTTTCCTCAAACAACATCATGACTATTGACGAAGGCAGCCTAACCGATATGAAATCCTTACGCGAATTGTAGGTCACCTCAGAACGAGAACTGCTTGAAAAAATTTTTGTATCATGTTCCAGGAACCTCTCCAACAATAAGCTTCGTCATTTCTCCAGCGCTCTGCTCGGATCCAAGAATATTCTTGAAATTCTGTAAGTTAGCGAACTTGATGGAATGAAGGCCACATAATTATGGGGCCTTAACTACCATGATGTGCACTCGAACAAGCGGAACGATAGGGCCCCTTTACCTTTTCCCCTTAACTGGTTCAGGATCGCTTCACGCCTCACCTTCGCCGATGAATGATCTTCAGTTTTGTGTCAGTGCACTTGATTCGAATATTCATAGATTTCATGACGCCCTTTGCACATCATCCTACTGGATAGCTCAGGTCTTTTGCATCAACTTTCAAAACCACATTTCAGTCTTGAACGTGTGGGGATTGAAGTGATGCGTTATTTTGCTTGGATTAGGCAAGGAGTGCAATGAGGAACACTTGTGGGGAGAAAGCGAAAAACACCATAGAGAACACTAAATTTCCTTATGACGCCGGCCGTGGTTCGACAGAGAGACACAGCGCTGCGAGTAGTGGGAAAACGCGAGATAGCACGTCGTACGCGAGAAGGCGCAGAGACCACGTATGCCGTAGTTGATAAGGATGGTAGCACACAAGTCAAAGTCTCAGTGCTGCTGGTTGTGTCCACGTCTTAGTCGCGGCATTGTAGTGCTTCCTGCCTTTAGGGATCCCTCTTTCTCACTCTAGAAGGGACTGACTCTTGGGACTTAATCCCGACTCGTGTCGTTACAACTTGATTACCAGCGCCTATGAATCATTATACAGAAAATCAATAAAGGAAGTATGATGTCGAACATGCTTGAGTAAACGGGTGTCTCCCGAATGGGCCCATCGCGCGGCGAAGGAAGAGATGCAGACGCGGCAAAGAACGAGTCGCAGCGCATACTGTCTCGGTTAGGCGTCGTTTTAAACAGAGTCCATACTACGTCTCACATCACACAGCACGCGATGGGCCTCTTGGGGGACACCCTTGAGATCTTAGGTGACTCTTTTATACTAAGCTAGCAAACTGCTCCAGAATAATTCAACACGAATTTCTTCTACAAACTACTACACGTCCGACAACCTCCGCAACTTCACCACTTCACGCACTTTCGGCTAATTATTTTATTTTTTAATAATTCAGATCACTCTCGAACAATCACCTGAAATGTGTAACTCCGAATATTTTCGATGGGCTAAAGCACCTTCGAACACTGTAAGTTGATTTTTCAATCTTGAATCTGTCATACATCATGCAATAGCACTTCGTACTCCGGTTGTGAATCCTTTCATATTGCCGTGAAGTGTTATTTAAAAATGAAGACGTATATAAAAGCCATGCCCATCAAAATTTTGATGTTTGGACTTCTTCCATCTCAAACCTCTTCGACTGTGTTGAACCACCGTGGATCTTCTCGTTCTTATCATGAAGATTCCAAAGCTTGCTCGAAAATCTCAGTTCTCCACTAATCTGTCATTGGGGTTGAAGCCACTTTCTTTCTTCCAGAACTTATAATAGTATGCTGGTGAACAGCAAGCAACAAACCAACTTTGAAAGCAGTGACCACGAGGCTAGTGAGCGGTGCGGTTTGATGGAGATACGCGTCACAAAAAACCTCGTTAAACGCAAACTTTGATGGCCATCGGTGAACTAGTCTCTCCAGCTCGCTGTGAAGGGGGGGGGGGGGAGTGGGTCGGTTAAGAGCGCTCTTAAACGCAGCCGTACTTCAGTGATCGCTGGCTTCAGAGCCGAGGAGTGACAAGCTTCACCTTAAGGAATTCCTTTTTAGTTACTGTTTGCATTACCTTCAGTTGCGTCTATTGAAACAACCAATCATGAATAATAATTTAAACCATCATAATAAAAAATCGGCTGGCGTCGCTTGGCATCGAGGGAGGTCGTTTATGCGGCAGAGGGTGTCGAGCACAGGGCCAACCGTCACGTTGGACCAGTTTCGAAAATTTTACGTCTCCCCTGCCCCTTCTGAAGGACCTCGATACGACCCCCCCCCCTCAGAGTTAACCCATCAAGCCATCCTCCACCACCCTCGCCTACCATCGCTCGCCATCATGGCGATTCTATAGCGTTTCATTCTGAGACCAGTCGACACTGCCCAACTCCACCCACTTTTCCCTCCAAAATTGCCGTCGAGTGGGGTGATATATGTCGAATGTGAAACGGCCAAATTTTTACACTCAACACCACCCAAAATCCCAGCCTACAACCTAATCCGCTCTCCGTTCCATAAAAAATGTCCTTTCCCTTATGTAACATTAACGCTACCTCGCTAAATACGACCCCCCGCTTTTCCACCCCCAAATACGACCCCCACTCATACACTCGCTGGACTTTGTCCAAAGGACGGTTGACCCTGGTCGGGCACACCAGGTGACCTTGCCCTCAAAAGGATAAGCAACAAATACCATCACGGTCAACTGATATGTGGCTAACTTCATTTTACTTAGTGATATTATGATATATTTATATCTATTATTTATCATTACGTATGTTTATGAAACGAATTCTGATAATCTGCTAGCATTCTTTGTTTCATGTCTGATATATACTCATGAAATTTCTGAAGTCCACCTTATTTTTTCAGAGCCAATTCCATTGAGCAAAAATAGTACACTGAGAAAGCACTTACTGTCAACAGAATGTAATGGCTTGTTTTGTTCTAGAAAAATTAGTGGAAACGACCTGTCATGCGATTGCCAAGTGTTACCGCTAGTGCAATGGATGAGGGCGAACGCTTCAAGGAACGTTCAAGCCGGTCAATGCACTCGTCCCAAAGAAATGATCGGAAAGAACCTAGAAGATTTAAGCAAGGACGATATGAGCTGCAAATGTACAGTCTTGCTTTTGATAGAAAGGAATCAGGGCGACAATTTAAGAGATGTAATGGAGGATACTTGCTCAGATTTGGTGTGCTCAAATTACTGATGTTGAAGTTTGCGTCAGAAGTCCGCATTCCCACACCGGATGGTTCAGAAACAATGAATAATTTTAAAGGGAAGCACAGAGGAGTGCAGCTTCTTAAATTATAGCGTGCTCAAAATTGCCGCTGCTTTAGGTTAGAGGTCGTCATTCGGTCCCTATGTGGAAGTGGGGGAGGGGTGTTGGGGGAGAAGGAACCTCCTACACTCCGTTGCAAAACTACACGACATACCCCAAATTTTGGGTTTCTGTACTTACGAGAAACTCAGCACAAAAATGGCTAATGCCATTCGATTCAGCGTGTAAAGAAACTCACTATAGAGAATCTTCAAACAGATTAGTCAGATT